TTTTTCATAGAAGCAAGATATTGAGGCCCTTCTCATTAACTTACCATGAATTAAGAACAGATGTGTAATGGGACACAAAAATGTGTAATACCATTTAGCTACCTGAAGACACTTTACGTAAAATACCTTGTATAAAGAAACCTCTGCAATATCTGACAGATCATTAAAGGAGCTTATGATGAGCAATCCATATCTGGTACAAAAGATTATGACATGGTGTCAGGAGTAAACTAAGAATAGAAATACAATGAAAACAGCAACAAAGATTGCAGAACCTCATCACCATGCCACTTCTCAATGCCCCCAGAGAACTTCAACATTGACAAATTTTCAGTATGCACAGTCTGGAAGCAATATTTTGCAAGATTTTTGCATTGCAAACAAACACTACAAAGAAACAGGAGATATACAGAAATCTTAATTAATTTATGCTATGGGGAAGCAAGCAGAGGATATCTTTACATCCTTAGACTTTACTGAACTCTGTCACACAGATGACTCTGAAAGGGTTCTGTTTGATTCACACTCTATACCCCAGAGAAATGTGATTTATGAAAGAGTATGTTGGAACCAGAGGAAAATACTGAATGTTTTATAAGAGCTCCACATACTTTGGCTGAAAACTATGATTTGGGGAATGCAAAATGTGAAAATATCAGAGACTGGCTAGTTACTGGATTAAAAGATAAAGATCTTTTACAGCAGCTACAAATGAATGAGATTTAACTCTCACCACAGCTAAAAATAGCAAACCAGATAGAATTAGTCAAGCAATACAACAAAAGCCATGAGCAACTTGAAAAACCCGAAACTAACATAAAAACTAAAAACAGATATTTGAGTGTTATAGTCACCATAAAACCTCTGAAGCAAGGAGAAAGAACGCTGAGGCTAAGAAGGACAAATTTCATCCTACATGCATCAGGTATGAAAAAAGCATATCCCAAGAGATTTTACATGTCCAGCCAAAGACACATGGTGATATAAATGAATGAAATATGGACACTTTTCCCTACCAAAGTAGTCAGGAAGTTGACTCATATTACAGACAATCAAGAGCCATTGTTTCTAGGATTTATCACTTGGGAAGACATAGAACTTGCCTGGAGAGTAAAACTAAATATTCATGGCAAGACTATTGATTTTAAAATTGACTCAAAAGCTGACATCAGAATCATCCGAGAAAGGTCTTACAATGACCCATTAAAGGAATTTACAATGAACACATCTGTGTGGATAAGCAAACTCCGTGACCAGCCCATATCTGGAACAGACAAACATGACAAGATAAACTCAGCATTGGAGAGGAGAGGTTTGGATGCCAGTGAATACTTTGTACATATGTAGAGGGCCTAACAATCGTACACAGATTGGTCAACTTCTTAGTTTTCTCAATATTTCTGATAATTCTTATATTGGTCTAGGCAAGTTGCATTACTAAAAAAACAAATGGAGCTTAGGATAAACAACCAAACCTTGCAAAGATAATCAACAAGCACCAATCAACCAAACAGGTAATGCCTATAATTTACAGTAATCTTATTTACTGTAAAGTATGTTTTATTATTTCTCTTTATGTATGTTTTAGTAGCAATCAGAGGCTTCGGTCTGGACCAGATTCCTATTATATTGGGCATTGTATAGATCCTTGCAATTAACAACTGTATTTTTGACATGTTATTTTGTATGTAGGTAGACAATTTAGAGCATTTTCATTGAAGAGTAGTGTTTGTTTATTTTTTTTACTCAACATACATATATTATTTCTGTACAAGATATGCAACATTCATGTATTGTTCATAATATATATTTGGTAACTAATTCTAAGATAACAGAACCTCAGGTAACTCTCCCTAACGTAAAATAGTAATATTGCTTGACGCCACTTTAACACTTGACCATGAACAACTTTAAGTAGGACAGAAAATATTATTTTCCCAGGCAGTAGTAACATGCTTGGGACCCAATAATGAAATACAATTATTTGTCTGTTTCAGAGATAAAACAGGTGTGCTCAGCCAGTACGACCAGGACAAGTTTGAGGATTCTGGTGCCCAAGGCCTCCCTTTCCACTTGGCAGAGATTTCCCTGTAAGTGCAGAGAGTCTCCCCAAGTATATGATGATAGAAGATAGTCAGAGAATGGAGTCAGATAGAACAGATCATTCTAAGATGTCTAAGTTATTGCAGTTGCTTCTCTAGAAGCACATAATATAAGTACAAGATTAATTTTTTGTGTCAGTTTTCAAGAACTACACATTCCACATGGCTTGCATGGAAGCCCCGTTTCTTCAGCCTTCCAGACCAATGATCTGATGGATGAGTATGGCAACATGTTACAGTTTGAAGCACTTCATCTGGCCAGCTACAATTGTTCCATAATAGGATATAAACCACCTCTGAGTTTCCATAATCAGGCAACAATAATGTGACTAAAATAAAACTCAGTTAATTGCTTGGCTTGATATTGAATGCATGTCTGTTTTAGCTCTTACTGTGGCCACAGTCTGGGCTTGGTTGTTCCATGACAAGGGAGTGTAGCATGTAGTTGTACTGAGACATGTGGTATGTCTACGCTACAATTAGATAGCCATGGCTGGCCCGTGCCAGCTGACTTGGGCTCACAGAGCTCAGGTAGTAGGGATATTTAATTGTGTTTGGGCTCAGACTGCAGCATGAGGTCTGGGACCTTCCCACTTTTCAGTGTCCAAGAGCCTAAGCTTCAGCCTGAGCTGATGCCTACAGTGTGATTACACAGGCCCACAGCCTGGGCCCTGTGAGCCTCAGTTGACTGATATGTGCTATTTGTGGATTTTTAATTGCAGTGTAAACATACTCTAAGTAACATTGCTGTCACTGAGGTGATGGTTGGGGTCTGCAGTGTGAGCTTGCCAACCTGGTATGGTTTAAATGGGTCTCACAAAGTTGCATGGAAAATAGTGAGATTAGAACTTGACAGCTACATCCTGCCTTTCCTCTCCCAATCTGATTACTGTTATTACTATGTATAATGGTGGCCTTGTTTTCCAACCAATAGTTACAGTCTTTTAATTTGTGATGTGATAATAATAATTATATGTAGCTCCTTCAGATGGTGGAATTAAGAAATTCTGTATTACTTTAGATAGTTTGTCTGTAAAACAAGGATAAAATATTAAATATTAAACATTTTATTCCATTTTCTTAAATTTAATTGACTGGTGACTTTTATAGCTTTTTAGTTTGTTTGGTTTTCCACACACACACACACACACACACACACACACACACACACACACACACACACACACAAAGGAAATGACATCCTCCAAATTCTAGTGGAGCTTCCTACACCACTGCTCTTGCTGGAAAATACAGGTAATATGTTAGATCAGTGTGAGGTAAATGAAACATAGAAAGTATAGAGCTAATTGCACTGGATGTATCTCCCTTGTCATCCCCCAGCAAAGTGTTTGTTTATTTTTATTTACTCAACATACATATATTATTTCTGTACAAGATATGCAACATTCATATATTGTTCATAATATATATTTGGTAACTAATTCTAAGATAACAGAACCTCCGGTAACTCTCCCTAACGTAAAATAGTAATGATCTTTTCAGCTTAGCTATCACTGAGTTGAGGTTCTAATCCTGGAGATAGGATTTTCAAAATGTAATTAATAGTGCTGACATTTAGAAGGCCATTATTAAGCCTCAAAGTTAACATTCCGTTAAAATGAATGTGAAAGTTCACACCTCTCTTTGTGGTGTTATAGCCTCAATATAGACAGTTGAGTCAATAAGATGGCACTGTATCAGTTTACACTGTGAAGGTTAACTTTTCAAACAGAAGAACAAAAACTTCATTTTTCTTTTCAAATAAAAAAGTTAACTTCTGGTGGTGACTACAGCAAAACCTCTTATAGGATCCTAATTTTATAGGATTGCATGGATTTTTTTTATACCTAAATTTCTTGTGTTTATGTTTATTAAATGATAACAGCATAATCCTGAAATCCTTGTTCACATGGGGCTTAAGGACTGTGTCATACAACATTAACACATTGATTTTGTCAATAGTTATCCATAATTACATTTGGGGGCTTATAGTAAACTGCAGTGTGAACTAAACACTATGTCATTTATCTATTACAGAACCCAATCATTTAATTGTCTAAGCTAGAGATAATAGAAGATAACTCCAGATAAGCAGGAAAAAAGTGTGAAATCTAAAGGGTGCGTCTACACTGCACCATTTTCCCAGAATAACGGACATTATTCCAGAAAACCAATACTAGCGTCCAAATTTAAAATTTAAAGAAAATTTAAATTTTTAAGAAAATTTAAAAAACGGAGGGCTTTTTCCAACATTGGTAAACCTCATTCCATGAGGAATAACGCCTTTTCCGAAAAAGCTCTTTCGGAATAGGGGGCGTGTGGACACTCCACTGCTTCTATGTCAAAATAGCTCCTTACCAGGTCCATTCTAAATTATTCCTCCCCAGTGCCTCCTGGGGCTCTAAATCAAGATAGCATGTCTACATTAGGGGAGCCTACCTTGGACGAATTTTGAGGCTTCCCTGTAGTGTGGCTGCTCTATTTCGAAATAAGCAATTCTGGAAGATATCTTCCAGAATAGCTTTTTTTCTGAAATAAGCTTACAGTGTAGACATACCCTAAGGCATTCTAAACTAAGCTACTGGTCTGTGTACAGCCTCCACTGTCAGGATATTAGGTGCTCACCAGCTGAGAATTATCTGACTTATACTATACAACAACACACCGAACTATGAACATATTCCATAAGGATTAGAAGTGCTACTGGTAAATATAATGTAGTTTGTGAATGTGTTATACAGCGTTCCTTCTAAGATTTTCCATCCATGACTGGAGTGAGTTTTGTCCTGTGTACCAACACTGATGTCATGTGTGCTTGCTCAGTTGTGCACCACCGGGGCACCCACCAGTTACTAACAAAATTATATATACACACACACGCGCGCACACACACACACACACACACACACACACACACACACACACACACGAAACAATATAAACCAAGGGATAATTAACAAGGTGCATAGCCCTGTGGTACAGGAATGAGGGCAGAGGGTGGAAGGTAAGGGGGTGCACGATTCAGGACAGAGGGGAGCACACAAAGGGGGGCTGAGAGGTCGGGGAGGTGGAAGCTTCTCACTGGGGCGAGGCTGGAGTTGGGCTGCCCATTCCTCCAGCGGTTCCTTGCAGGAGGTGGGCCCAGGACTGGGCTGCCTGACCCCCCAGGAAGCTGCTCACTGTGGGGGAAACAGAGCTGGGCTGCCCGACACCTATCCAGCCCACAGCTCTTTCACAGAACCATAGAATACTAGGACTGGAAGGAACCTCAAGAGGTCATCGAGTCCAGTCCCGTGCCCTCATGGCAGGACCAAATACTGTCTAGACCAGTGGTCCCCAACCATTTGGGGTTGCCGGGAGCCAGGGGGCGTGGCCGTTCGCCTGCCATGCATCAGAGGGCAGGGACACTCGTGCACCCGGGGGCGGGGCTGCGCATATGCCACACCCCCATGAGCCACGTGCCTGGGGCCAGCAACCCTATGCACCGTGTGGCCACAATGATTGACCTTGCAATGGTGGTTTACCTTGAGAAGGAAACAATTCTGATCTGACAATACCTCAGCAACTGGCGCTCTCTCCCCGCCCTCCCCCAAGCGCCGCGCGCCCGGGGCCGGCATTAGCGCTTTCTCCCCTCCCAATGCGCCGCGGGGCGTGAATCCGCGGCGCCCCCGGGGCCAGCGCTCACCGTGTTGGGGACCACGGGTCTAGACCATCCCTGATAGACAGTTATCTAACTTATTCTTAAATATCTCCACAGATGGAGATTCCACAACCTCCCTGGGCAATTTCTTCCAGTGTTTGACCACCCTGACAGTTAGGAACTTTTTCCTCATGTCCAACCTAAACCTCCCTTGCTGCAGTTTAAGCCCATTGCTTCTTGTTCTATCCCCAGAGGCCAAGATGAACAAGTTTTCTCCCTCCTCCTTATGACACCCTTTTAGATATCTGAAAACTGCTATCATGTTCCCCCTCAATCTTCTCTTTTCTAAACTAAACAAACTTAATTCCTTCAGCCTTCCCTCATAGGTCATGTTCTCTAGACCTTTAATCATTCTTGTTGCTCTTCTCTGGACCCTCTCCAATTTCTCCACATCTTTCCTGAAATGCGGTGCCCAGAACTGAACACAATACTCCAACTGAGGCCTAACCAGCACAGAGTAGAGCGGAAGAAAGACTTCTCGTGTCTTGCTCACAACACTCCTTTATGAGAGGAAAGGCTGGGACTAGGCTGTCTGGCTCCCTCAATTGGTGGGGGAGGGGAGAGCTGGGGCTGCACTGCCCAGAGCTTCCAGCCAGCTGGCCAGCAGCTCCTGGAATAAGGGTGCCATGGCTACTCTGGTCAGTGCTGCAGCTGAGAGTTTTGAGGGACTGGAAGCAGCCCACACAACAGATACACAAAACTGTGCAAAACTTTAGTAATGAAATTGCAGATCAAGTGAAACTTATTAGGTGTCATTAGAAACATGAAATTGGGGGCAGAGTTGTCCAAATTTTGCCAATGATTGTGGACTTCAGTGAAGTTGGGCTGAATATTGAGTAAGACTGGGCCAATATTTGAATGAACCTAGGTCATTTTATAAGCTTGGGTATAATCTATGCAAATCAGATGTAGAGACATGATACTCTTCAGTAGCAGACAAGTGGCTGCTCTGCCATATCCCCACTGTGACAGAGCTGGTCAGCCATCAAGGATGGGGAGCTATCAGTTCCAAAATTCCCACTTGTCGATCACAGAAAATTAAAATGTGATTTGCAGCAAAGGTTTTGGGGGATTGTGCTGGACTCTGACTGAGCCTCTTCACCTTGTAGATACTTTTCTCTTCCTCATGCAAATGGCTCAGTTTGTGCTAGTGTAAACCAAGGATACTGCCTTCACAGTTGGGGGAAAGGTGGAAGTATTTATTTTGCGCACATCTTCAAGTGCCTTTGCAATATCTGAAGGTCTCTTGAGGTGAAAAGGGAATTCCTCAGCCTCTTCTTGCCCTTCATGCATCTTGAGCATAAATCAGCTGATCAGACTCTCTAGGCCAGATTCATCCCTGCACTGATGCAGGTGCCTGGACAAGATGAGAGGGGCCCAATATGTGCTTCCCGTTTTAGGAAGTGTAAGGACCGAGTGGCACAGTCCAGAGTTGATACACACTGTATGCCCTTTCCATGGAGATTTTACTTTTGTTCTTTCTTATTTGTTCTTTAAGTCTAAATGAGCTTGAAGCTAAAAGTACACATTTGCTTTTCTTTATAAGGAAAACATGTCCTTACACCCTTGAGTTGAGGAGAGGGGAAATAAAACACAAATGCCAGGGGAGTGAGGGGTGTCAGTGGGGCCACATCAGTGAGGTTTGGGGAGTTTTTGGAAGGGTTGTTTTTTTCCATCTGGCTTGTGTGGTCCCTGACTGATTTTTCTGTGGGTCAGTGGCCCGACCCAAAACAGGTTCCCGCCCATCTCATAAATAAAGACAATGCTGAAATGTTTTGTGTTGGACATAATATTATAATTAAAAATGAAGCCTGGCAAGCCCCCAGTTGGGGCCAAGGCCCCATCTGGCTGCAGCATCATAACACTCCTGCACTTCCCCACATACCTCAACCCTGAGCCCATCATACACCTGAATCCCCTGTCCTGAGCCCCTTACGTTCCCAAACTCCTGCACCCCCACATCCCCAGACTTCTGCCACAACACTCCTGCACCATCCACACACTGCAGATCTGTGTACTGAGCCCATCATACTCCCAACCCCCCTGTCCTGAGCCCCTCATACACCCCAGCCCAAACTCTTGCACCTTCATATCCACAAGCCTGCGGCTTGCTCCAGCACCCCAACTCTCCATCTGAGCCCAAGACTCCCCGGCCTGGAGTCCCCTCCCTGAGCCAGCATCCCCTTCTCTGCCTCCACCTGCACCCAAATTCCCTCCCAGAGCTTGCTCCTCCCACCCCAGAGCCCACCCCTCCTATCTCAACCCAGTGAGAGTGAGTAAGGGCTGGGGGCAGCAAATGATGGAGAGGAGGGGAATGGAGAGGGCAGGGCCTCAAGGAAGGGGTAGGGTCTTGAGGAAGAGATGGGGTTGATCTTGGCTTGCCCTGACATTTAAAAAAAGTAATCATTGGTGTAGAAAGGTTGGAGACCACTGGCGTAGGGTGTCTGGATTCCTGGCTTATTATAATAAACTGTAACCCAATAACTCACTAACACCCTTTTTTTGTCCTATGACTACAGAAACATTAAGATGTCACTTCACCTTGTATGATCCCTTGAGAATATTTGTTAAATAACCATTCTAAACTATCTATTCCAATTTGTATATAGCTCTGGCATGCTAGTTTTTCCAGCCCTCAAGAAGACCTCTGAGTAAGCTTGAAAGTTTGTCTTTTTCACCAGCAGAAGTAGGTCTAATAGAAGATTGCCCGTGGTGTCTTTCTCTGGATCCATCTACACAGCAGCATTATTTCGGAATAACTGACATTATTTTGAAATAATAATACAGTGTAGATGCCACATTTTGTTATTTCAAAATAATGTCAAGGTGGAGGATTTCTTGCTCCAACTTTTGTAACCTTCATTTCACAAGGAGTAAGGGAAGTTGAAGGAAGAGTGTTCTTCCTTCATCTTCCTGCTGTACAGAAGCCGAATTAAAGCATTTCTACTTCAGCTATGCAATTAATGTAGCTAAAGTTGCATATCTTAATTTGACTTTTGCCCTGCTGTGTAGACTTTTGCCCTAAATGTATAACCTTAGGGCTATAGCTTTAACTGAAAGCCATGAGGCTTTTAACTCACGTGGTAGAGGGTCATGTATTTAACTCCAGAACTTCCAGGTTTGATCCTGCCTGCCAACAACCGGAGTCTGTTGATGTTACATGTTGATGCCGAAAAAGTATATTCTGCTTATGGGGTGGATATCCTAAGGAGTGATCCAATAAAACATTGAAGTCAGTGGAAATTTCGGGCTTTGGATCAGAGCCAAAAATACAATACATGAGCAATGGGTGTGTTTGCCTGATGTTCTCATAGCATGAAGGGTGCATCAAATAGTTGCTAATAGTTAGTATATAAAAGTTTACCAACAGTAACCCTTATTTTCATTTAAATATATGTCAAATAAAATATTCAATAAGAAAAAAGTGGTAACTAATTACTATAATAGAGATTAAAATAAAAGCAAACATGTACAACAAAATAACCATTGTACCCTAACAGCAGTACTTTAAATAATATCAATGGTGCAGTAACAATTTTGTTCATGTCAAATTTTTCCATGGTTGTTCACCAAAGAAAGGATTCTCTAGTTCCTTTCTTGACTGGTTTAAATCACATTAAGTGCAATAAAGTTAATTTATATCAGATTTAAACTATGTAAAAGGTATATAAGAAGTGTTCATAAAACTCTATCACTGCATTATAGCAATTATACAAATGTAAGCAAAGTGGGGAAGGAATATGGATCTAGCGTTAAACTGACTAATGAAATTAACCCCTCATAAAATAAAATCCTCCACTTGTGAGTTCTACCTTGCATTGGATTTCAGAAGGTCCAGCTTTCAATAAGAGATATTAAACCAGAAACCAGCTCTAAATGTAGCTTTATTCCTCCATGGGGAGTAAAATATCTCTAAAAATGCACCCAGATTACTTCCTCTGTTCATAAAGCAATAGAATGCCTTTCCTCTGACTAAGTTGATCTGTGATTTAAAAAGAAGCTTTCCACTGAAAGACAGATCAAACATTTTACTTAAGCATCTGGTTACATCCTGAACAATAAAGAATTGAAGCTAATTCTCAGCATAGACGTGGCCTAGCCCTTTTTTTTTCTTCTTTGTAAAAAAATCTAAAGAAAAATTAATGTTTTGAATATAAAAAATAACAGACAAAAACTAGGGAAAAAGAAGACAACAATGAAAGTAATCTGGTTTTTATGGTTTTCCTTCTGTGGGGACAGGTAGTATTTATAGTATTTTTTCTTACCTGAGGATTAAATGCTCCTCTCTCAAATAAGTAATGTAATTTTATTTTTCAGGGTATAGGTCTTCTCTTTCTGTCTAATAAAAAGTCTCGGTCAGTCTCGGCAGATTGGAAATATTATCCAATGTTTTAAAAGTTACTTTCTGGTGCATATCATTAGTAGAAATATTTCTATATTAAATACTTTTTGCAACTATAAATGTCATAAATAGAAAATACAGTGATAGAATTTACAAGATAACTCAACAGCGTATTCACATGAACTTTACTTGAATCACAGGTTAGAACAGAAAAGTCAATACTCACTTCTATGGATTTTACAGAATAGAGAAATGTCTTTATCATTTCAACAAAAATTAACATTTAATTTTATTAAAGAAATTATAATAATCCATCCAAAAGGAAATGAAACTTTAAATTCTGCAATTAAAAACTTAATTGAAGTAATTCAGTTATCATAACAAGCGCAAGAGACCCCAGTGCATGCCCTGACAAGTGTAGATTATCTTGCAGCAAAACACAAATTGAATTGTCTACCATCTAGGTGAAATTTCAGTTGTTTTCTGTTTCTTTTAACAACTGTTGGGATAGCGGGGGAGGGGAAGGAAGAAAAAAGTTAAGAAATGCTCTGGAACTGTTCTACATGGCTTGGAGAGTTATTTCAAGTTAAATTTTATTTGAAGAAAGTATCTTATCAAAAGCATAGAAAAGGTTTTAATTCTTTTCTAATTCTGTCTTTGATATATTTCCATAGGGAAACATGAACCAGTACAGGAAACATAAAAATGTAGGAAATTTTATGATTTAAGAATAGAGTTTATTCCAATTTTACTAAGTTCATTGGTATAAGTTTACTAACACTTCTGTTGAAAGGTATTTTTAAAAGATTATTTTGTTCAGATAAAATAGTGGGTTTATAACGTACAATCTTAGGGTACATCTACCCTGCATCCCTAGTTTGGACTAGTGATGCAAATAAATGCTCTGGAACTGTTCTACATGGCTTGGAGAGTTATTTCAAGTTAAATTTTATTTGAAGAAAGTATCTTATCAAAAGCATAGAAAAGGTTTTAATTCTTTTCTAATTCTGTCTTTGATATATTTCCATAGGGAAACATGAACCAGTACAGGAAACATAAAAATGTAGGAAATTTTATGATTTAAGAATAGAGTTTATTCCAATTTTACTAAGTTCATTGGTATAAGTTTACTAACACTTCTGTTGAAAGGTATTTTTAAAAGATTATTTTGTTCAGATAAAATAGTGGGTTTATAACGTACAATCTTAGGGTACATCTACCCTGCATCCCTAGTCTGAACTTGGGTTGCAGTGTAGACGTACTCTTAGCTATCTACATGTTTTGTTAGTCTCTTAGGGTATGTCTATACAGCAAAGTTATTTTGAAATAACAGTCGTTATTTCAAAATAGCTTTCCTAGCGTCTACACAGCCC